ACACAGAGCATGAGTTTAAATTGTAGTGCAGCTGCTTCGACAGTGTGCCAGATACGAGGAACGCAACATTGCACATTGCTGTCCAATGGAGAGTGGAGTGTTCCCTGCAGCATCGATCAAGTCTCTAATTTATTTTATTTTACAGTGTATTCCCTTCCTTGCTGGTTCCAGTGACCAGCATCCCTGTTATTTGTTTATTAAAGTACAGGAAACCTTATATATTGTGTTGTGTTAATTTGTTATAATCGTTACTGGTATATTTCTTTCTCTGCACAGTCTCAATTGTGGTGATATACATTCACCAAACGATTCCCACCCTGTGACAGCGGACGAGCTGAGAGGGAGGAGACTTAAAAGATAAGCACGCTACCAAAGACAAAGACTATTAGACCGGTATTAAAGACAAGCTCCCCGATCCTGAATGCGGTGTAGCCCCATAAAGCCCCCCCCCCCCCGCATTTAACGTCACAATATTAAAGCGAGAGGGTTATCACCTACTCAAGCGCGGGAACAACACACGCTAAAAATGCAAAGGCTCGTGGGTAGACGCTTGTTTCTAAACAATGGTACGCTATGGTTGTCTGACGCATGCGCAGGTGACGACCCCCCTGCTTTAAGGTAATAATTAACAGTGCTTTTTTAATTTATAATCGTAAAAGATAAAATGTCCAGATTCACCATAATTTGAATAAAAATTTTGTTGATTGTTACCTCGATAAACATAAGAGCTAAGGATCTTGCGAAGTATGCCTGACTGTCGTTACGAGCTTCAAATCCATCTTTACCGCTGGAGGATTCTTTATTTAGTTTATCAGCACTTTCCTTGAGTTGATAGCAGACCAGCCATTTGTATGCAGCAAGCGCAACTAGTCAGAGAGAAATATATAAAACATTATTTTGTAATTCAACAAATATTCAACATACATACACTGTATATACTGCATTAGAAACAAAAAACTCTTATATAGCATTTCAATGTGAGTACCTTCCCCGGGGTTCACAAGTGTATACTGCACACAGACCATCAGCTTAATTTTAATAATTACATGTAACTTACTAGCTGCATCATAACACTGTACAGCTGTCGTGGCTTGGAATTTCCACTTAAGAATTGTATCAGCATCATTGAGGAAATTCACAGTTTTCATTGGTGCTGTAATTTGAACACCTGTAAATTGTAAGAAAATATAAAAGAAACACGATAATCATAGCATAACATCTTGAATTGAATAAAAAATATTGAAATGTAATATAAAAGTGATTAAAACCAGTGTTCACAGATGATGTTAAAACATGTACAATGTATTAATAACATAATTTCCGTAAATACTAATATTAGATAATTGTAATCACAAATACTAATCTGATGTAGATTATGTTAATTTTTTTAATTATCATGTTGAAGGGCGGTAGTCGTTGCGCTGCGCATGTGTGACATTTGTGTTGATAAACATTGATTTTCCCACAATCCAATGCGCTCTTCTAATGTAAATCAAAAGTATGAGGTTTGAACTGGTTGCGACTTGCACTGATTACCGCCGGTGATTCCTGTGACAACTTCCAATCTCTTGAAAAATATCTAATTAAAGCTTGGTAAATCTCAGTTTGTACTCATTGATCTGCGCAACATTCAAAGTCACCATCTTTGTTTATATGAGACCCATATATCTCGCGCATGCGTGGCGCGACGACTATCGCTCTTTAATTGAAATACGGGTAATATTCAAAGCATTATTGACCCATTGAGCTGAGATTGAGTGGTGTAACATTTTTCTGTTTTTATTCTGGACCAAATAAATTTTTAATGCCTGCAGGTATTGTTTACCATAGGAATAATGGATTCAGGTTATATATATTTCAGGTTTTTATTTCATTTCTTTTGTTGAATTTCAGTGTATTTTAATTTTAGTGTTTTATTTTGTCTTATTTTATTTGTCTTTGTAATCATTTTTATCTTACTAAACCCACAGATGGTTAAGTTGCATAATAAAGTTATTATTGTTATTATTTATATTTTGCAAAAGATGACATTATATATTCCTCTCCATTGTATCTCACCGTTTTGTTTGTTCTCTCTACATATGAGTAGATAATTACTAGTCTGCTGCAGGATAACGTTATTATCTCCTTCGTAAGTGGTGTTAGCATCGTTGTCACCACGAATTTCTCCAAATCTACTTACTGGAACGAGATGAAAAACAACATATATTACGTCACTTTATGTGTGCCAAAACAAATACAACTGTTACTGCCATGTACACACAAAGCATACCACTATTATATGCAGTGGTCACACATCAGCACACTACATATAAATTAAAAAATTTCATAAAAAATGAAAATTTGAAATTAGGTAAAATGTACCAAGTTTCTATTTTGTTCACAAATTATGTTCGATGATTCATTAAAAATGCTTTTTCTTTGAACACATTACATGAAATGCTTTCAACAAGTGACATTTGGTCAGAACTTTTGTAAACATTCAATTATTTTATTCACAGAGAATGTCACAACAACCCAGAAAACCTGTTATTTACTGTTTATAGCGGACAGATCTCACTCAGAAATGATAGAACTTTCTCTTTCTGCCTTGTCATGTTGGAAATTCACAGGGAAATCAAATACATTATCCAAATGTCAGCCCAACAGAGGTTTTAGGGACCTGAAGACGAAACTGAGGCAAAGCCAAGGTTTACATCAAGATCTGACAAATCACCAAAAAAGAACTGATGTGTATCAGTAATCCAGCATGTGTTGTGATGTTCACACCATTTTTTCAATGAAATGAGCTCAGGCAGGCCAAAGAAAAATATTTTTTTTCTGTTTTGAGGAGATTGGTTCTAAATTTGTTGAGTTGGTGTTTTTGTTGTTGAAAAGAATGGTCACCAATCGGCTGAATGAAGACAACATTGAACCCATTACATCTTGACTTTGTACCAAATTTAAATCAAATTTGTAAAAGTGTATTTTTAAAATGGGTGGCACATTTGCAAAAAACAAAATGGCTACCGGTCAGCCATTTCAACTACACTGACTAATTAATGACCTATCACTCAACAAATTAAATAATTTGAGTAAAAACCCATGCCTTTGTGAATTCCTTTAAAATAATTTATAGTATCAGAAAAGTTCTAGTGCTGCAATACATACCACTCAAATATCCATGTCCACCACACGCTTCTCTGCATTCCTGTATAGCGTCTCTCGCCAGCCATGATGTCAGCGGTTTACTGCTACATGCCACAGCATGCAATTCTTTACCAAGTTCTGCCTATTAAGTCAGACAATCAAAACACCATGTGCTAATTAATGGATTAATTTATGAAACACAATGATTATATCCATTTGAGTAAACTATTGTTAAGTTTCAACTAAGTTGAAAATTCATTTGAACAAATTATTATGATGTAAAATAAGCAGGTTGAAAACTTATATTGTATGCAAATTATCTAATTAATATGCAAAAACTGATATCAGATCTTCATCAACACAAATAGCAAACTGTTGTTAGAATATCAACGAAACGTGCTAAAAGTAGTTAATTATTATGAAAATTACCTCATTGATAGGCAAGGATGTGTACGAAAATCTAATTAATCTGAGAGTCATCACAAAATAACTTTGTACATGTAGCATAGCATATTGCATCCCAATCTACCTAGTGGTTCTTGAGATATTGGTGGGATTTGACACATTCATTCATCATTCGGGAGCCAAAAATAGATTTGTAACACCGACGTTGATTTGTTTTCTTACTAGTTTTTCAAAACAGATTTATTATAATAGAGCAAGTATGGTACAGTAACTCACAAAATCAAGAAAATTTGACTTTAACTTGAAGGAGTGAAATGAAATGAGCCATACAAGAAATAATGACATATTTGTATGTAACAATAATTTCCACATTTACCAAGTACACTGCGTCAGATTTAAGTAAAGTACCAATATTCAATTCTAAATAATACTTCATGAATTGTTTGGAGAAAATTTCTATTGCATACATAGCCGCCAGATATGGTATCAGACGCCATTGCTGTTGAAATGAACATAAATCAATTCAGTGGTTCAAGAATTACCAAGACATTGGTTTTAACATACACAATACATACATATAAGCAAATATTCAAAAACATTGGAAGTTTTGTTCACAACACAAAATGAAATTGCACAATTTTTCTTTTAATGTTACTTGTACTTGTATTACTTTTTAGTTTTTGTTCCCTATATATTTATTGCTCACAAATTAACTGATAGAAATGTTCTTTTTCTAAATATTCAATAAAATGTTACTGTTACCTGTAATTGGTATTCTAGTACTGGTATTTCTTTGTCATTTGTTGGTCCAAATTGTTTTCTTGCAGCAGAATAACGTATCGCTATGGGAACACATATTTTCAAATTTCCTGCACATACACTTACGATCCCGACACGACCGCCAGATAAAGTTCCCAGCGATGCTCCAAATTTCTTCTCAGGATCCTGAAAAAGAAATATACAACTAGATGGCCAACAGTGAGACATCTTTGATCTGATTATGAAAAAAACTGATATGTACATTGTATGACAAAAAGAATGATGTATGTGCCAAATATGAATGAAAATGGTCCATAAACCGTAAAGATATATTAGTATGGTCAAAAAGCATGATGGCCACCAGTCGGCCATCTTTGATCCGATTGTAAAACAAATTGTAATGGATATGTAAACTAAAATGTACAATATATTTGCACAAAATTTGAACAAAAACTGACAAAGCATGCATAAGATGCCACATTTTCAAAAACAAAATGGCTGCCAATAAATTCTTGAAAACATAAGTGGTGTCCATAGTTTTGTTGTGACAAAAAACAAACAAATTAGATTTAGTCTGTTTAGCATATGAAAAAGCTATTCATTTAATTTTCAAGTTTGATACCTAAGTATTTATATATCGAATTTGACGGCCCAAATGTGACACAATTAGACATGTCAGTCAAATGATAAGGCAGATGTGTGAATGGTTATATACATGTACTGCTGAGAAGGTCGAATCCAGAAAACATAAAATATATACCTAGTCATTTTTTTTAAAACCTGCGCCATCAAATACCACAAAGCTTGTGAAGTCTTCAAAATCGACTGAGAAACAATTCAAGCAAACCGGAAATAATGATTGAAATATGAGTCATTCAATTCAATGCATTACCAAGACCTTAAGGTGGCCCCAATTTAGATTAAATAATTTTATAGTGAATCTTTTTGTATGCTCCAAAATTCAAGTTGCACCATGAAATCATCACTAATGTTTAACTCAGGTCTACGGTATGGTATGAATCATTAGGAATTCCCATTTGATTGTGTGTTCAAATTTTATTTAATAATCCTAATTATCAAGCGGATCATTTTTCACTGTTATTTGACTTGTGGAATTTCCTGTAATTATTTGCACCAAAGCATAATTAAATAACACCAATTGTGAAAGAACTGTAACACAACGACATAACTAGTAACTTATAAAGTGGTAATAATCAGTATAAACAAATGGTAGTTTCAACTTCAACTCAAGAGGGCAGTATATCATATTGTAAAAAAACATAACTACCAAAAATGGTGTGGTGTATTTCCCTGCACTTGTGACATCACCAGTCTTGTTCAGTAAACTCTGGCGTGGAATACGAACATTGTTAAACATTAAAAATCTGAAAAAGAATATATTGTCAAGTTCAGTAAAAGAAAAATATTTCACTATATCTTGCTGCTGCTTATTGTAATGAGTTTCAGTCTGGAGATATTCCTCCTTTTATGTTGAGATTGTAGATAGGTAATGAGAAGATAGCAGATTATGAATTTAAGTGGACTTTCTAACTTGAAGATTTGTAAACCATAGACACTCACTGAGTTTAAGGCATTGTTTGTTCTTGAAATTCAGTTACTTTTACTATGTGATCATGTTACGGGGTCTTGGCATGAACCGTAATTTCTAATCCTTCGTGTTTGCTTAGGAATTACAGTAGTTTATTCCAAATACTCATTGATCACTGGCTCATATTCATTTATGTATTTAAATGGTCACTGAACCACATGGCCACTGAATCATGCGGCCAATGAACCCATTGACAGTAATAAAACAATAATATGATAGAAGTCTTACCCATTATCAAGACCATTCAGACCCAATTTATGTCCAATATCTCCAACCATTATGCCAGGCAGAGGAAGCAAAGTTTTTGTATCACGTATTTGTACAACAAACATATGCAAACCATGACATTTGCCATCAGCCGTATACAGCTGTGCGTAAACTATTGAGTGAGTAGCTGTTTTACCGACATTACCCATCCATATCTTGGTGGCCTCAATGTCTGGCGTATTTAAAATGAAATCCTGTAAAGTAAATACAGTATGTATATAGCTTGTCGATAAAATGAAGAACCAAAACTGGAATTTTGAAGCAATAAGAGACTTTAGACATCCAGATGCATCATCATCATCATCGGAATACAATCAACGAGATCAAAATTTATTACCCCTTAACTCTCTGATGTTTTTGTCATCTTTTTTAACAATAATGTAATGAGCACATAGTAGCATAAAACAAAAAGCATTTTGTAAATAGCGCCACCTAGAGTTGACCTTGCAATAAAATAGTTCCTTGAAATAATATTAAATTTAAATAACTATACCTTTGTTTCTGGGTCAAAGGTCGCAGTGGTTCTCATATTTTTGACATTACTACCATGACTTAACTCAGTGAGAGAAAAACTACCAATTAGCTGGAAAAATAATAGACAATAAATACACCAAAGTGAACTTTTTTCAACATTTACAAAATAAACTACAAAATGTTCACCAAAGTTTTGACAGAAAACAATCATGCAGGTTTAATTGTAAAAGGTTGGTCTGGGTGTCAATAGTTGTTGGTCCAAGTGCCAATAGGTGTCGGTATGGGTGCCAATAGGTGTAGGTCTGGGTGCCAATAGGTGTAGGTCTGGGTGCCAATAGGTGTAGGTCTGGGTGCCAATAGGTGTTGGTCTGGGTGCCAATAGGTGTTGGTATGGGTGCCAATAGATGTAGGTCCAAGTGCCAATAGGTGTAGGTCTGGGTGCCAATAGGTGTAGGTCTGGGTGCCAATAGGTGTT